TGTAAAAATGGTCAAGCAGTTTTAAATAAATAAAAAATAAAAACAATAAAAAAATCACGCTTTTCAAAAAAAAAAAATTAAATTTTCAGAAAACTCAAATTTTTGAAATTTTTCTTCATTTTGAAAAAAATATCTAAATTTCGAATAAATTGAAAAATATTAAAATTTAAAAAAAAACGATTTCTTATAACAATTTGAGAATATTTCGAAATTTTCAAAAAAAATCGGGCATTTTCAGAAATTTCCGAATTCTCAAAAAATTTTGAAAAATCGATTTTTTTTTTAAATTTCAAAACTATCAAAAAAAAAACGAATTTAAAAAAATTTAAGGAAATTTCTTGAAAGCATATACATAAGTTGTTTGTAGAATACGCTTGTCGCCCAATAAGCACATATAAATTTACAGTATGTATTTATAATAAATAATCTATTTTAAATTATTTAAAACAATTATTGATTATTTTCATTCCTCTAATTTTAATCACGGTACGGGAAGTTCCAGCAATTTGCCTTAAGGCACGATGCCATGCGGTCCACTAGTCTTCTAATTTAATTGCACTAAATAGTGAAGCATTGTTTCATTAGGGGGTACGACTTAAGAAACCATTATTAAACTCAAAAAGTTAAAACAAACAGGCTAATGTTGTAATCTATTTTGTCAATTATTCATGGTCTTAAGTATTGATTATAAAAAATTTATTCCATTGACTATCAATTTTAAGAATTTTGGTTCATTATACTACAATTATTTTTTTGAGTTCCTTCAAAACTACTACCGATAATTTTCGGTATATTTTTTTTATAAAGTATATTACTTATGTTTTCTTTTTAGAAATATGATATTGTAACAAAAGCACATTTTTGAGAACCGTGAAAATTAATTAATGAATAAATCCGTAATTATAAATCACAAGCCAATCAAATAAAGATACAGTAAACGCCACAGATCTTCTTTCAATTTAATTGCACTAAAAAGTAAAGCATTCTTTCCTTTGGGGGTACGATTTAAGAAACCTTATCCATAAACTCAAAAAGTTAAAACAAACAGTCTAATGTTGTAATCTATTTTGTCTATTATTCATGGTCTTAAGTATTGATTATAAAAAATTTATTCCATTGACTATCAATTTTAAGAACTTTGGTTCATTATACTACAATTATTTTTTCGAGTCTCTTGAAAACTACCACCGGTGGTTTTCGGTATATTTTATTTTATTTAGTATATCACTATTTGGTGTATTTTATGTTTTTTCTAGAAATATGATATTGGTATAGTATGTGCCTCTGCACCCAGTATGGGTCTTTTAACAAACAAAGGACCTCCTTCTTGGCATCCAGCTCAAGAAGACACCAAAAAAATTTGCAAGGAAGCTGCCGAATATTGCGAGGTAAAAAATAAAAATTTTACATTATGACTTAAAATATGACAAAATTATATTATTATATTTTATTTTTGATGTCTTTTATTTTATTTATTAATTTTATTATTATTATTATTTGTTTTTATATTAAATCATCATACTACGGATATCATTTTATTGTAAATACTATCCTTTGTACTCTTTTTTATTTATATTTATATTATTCTTCATTATTGTTACTAGATGTTAAATTATTTAAGTTGTAACAAATATTGTAATTAAAAAAAATATTTGACTTTTTTTTAGAAAAATAATTGTGAATTAGGAAGACTAGCTATGTTACATGCAGTGACTTCTTCTCAAAAACTAGAAATTGCTACTCATTTAGTCGGTATGAATACCCGGACTTTGTTGTATGATAATTTAAAAGTTGTCCAGGAAGGATGTAGTAAAAAAGATTCTGAAATTTTGGAAGAAATCAAAGAAAGGTATGAAAAAAAAATCCTTTGAAATCTGTCCATATTTTGTTTAATTTCGATGCTTCAGCAAGTTTATCAATAGAAAATATTGATAAAGTAGACGACCTTTAAAATTTTACCAGGGAAACAAGTCTTATAAATTTAATTTATACAAAAAATGTGTATTTTTAAAATATAGGTATGAAATTTTTCTATTAACTGAGCATTTATTGAGAACATAATTTTTGAGAAATATTTCAACTGAATTCAACTTACAGCAGAACAAATTTTGGTAAATTCAACAATTGATCAACAAATTTAAAAAAATGGCACAAAACTAAAGTACAATTTTAGTTCATGCATAAGATTTATTTTTGAAGAATTAATTATCGTAAAACTCATTTATTATATTAATATATGCATTTGATTTTATTATTAACATTTATGATATTATTTGTTGAGAAAAACTTAATTTTTTATGCTGAAGTATCTTGTCGAAATGATGCACGATTTTTTGGAATTGATGCATTTTCTATTCTATTCTAGATTTTAATATAAGATGGTGAAAATATGAAGGGTGTCCGAATTTGTTAATAATTTTTTAAAATAATTACAGATTTTTCAGCAAAATTACCAAAAAGCATTGGGAAGGCATTGAAGCTGAAAAGGGCCTGGACAAATTTAACTAATACGTATTTGGCTTTCATTTAAAAATAATTATTTTATAAAAGAAAATAACTTGCTATATATTTTTTTATTAATGATATCAAAACATTTAATTCCACAGATTTAAATTTTTTAAAAGTAAGTTTCTTTAGTAAGAAATTATGAATTATTTTATTATTGAATCTTGTATATTTATTTATGCTTGGATATAAATTGAATCTGTGAAATTGTATAACAAAATTGTAATTCAAAAAGCTTAAGTGTTATAAATTTTATAGACCAATCATGTTTTAATTTTTTTTTTAAATGTTATTCTTCAAGTTTTATTTTAATCTAAAAATGATTGTATATTAAGTACATCAAGAAGGTTTTCAAAAAGTCGAAAAAGTCAACGAAATTTCACAATTTGGCTCACACTTTTACCAAATTTGGTCATAAACGATTCAAAATAAATTAAAACGCCGAGAAAACATAAGAGGTAAGAATAATAAATATTGTTAATTTTATATGTATGATCATAATTAATTAAATTTATACTCTAAATCTAGAGTAACAAAATATATTATTTTTCAAATAGGTTTTTCAGATTGCCAATTAAATTTTGTTAAAAAAAA